CCTCCGAAAGCTGGAGGACCACGAAAAGAGCTCTCACCAATCTCTTGGCCGCCAAGCGTGGAAGACGACTGCGTGCAAAGAGATCTGTGGAGGACGACGATCCTGAGTCGTCCAAACAGGGGTCGCCGGATGGCCGGGAGTATGTTTCCTTGAAGCGCAGTCGGACCACATCCTATGGCTACTCGGAGAAGCAGTCGTACACCGTGCGAGCCAGGCATTATGTCACCACCGATGGAGTCCAATCGATGTCACGCCGACTACAATTTCACGTCGTGGACGGCCACACCATTGACCTGGGCATCCAGAACTGCTGCCTCACCTTATTGCAGCAGATTCTCGCTCAAACGGCTCCGCAGCCGGCTATGCCCGACGACCTTGCCCAACTTATGGACCGTCTTGTGAAAGATCGGGCAGGGGTCCTCAAGCAACTCGGTCTTCACATAGTGGAGGGCAAGGAAATGATTAACACCGTCCTGAACGGCGGCACTCCACCGACATCGTTGAAGAACAATGAGATCTTCCAAGGCTTACAAAAGATTTCCCTGTACATCAGATGGGTAGCGTGCAATCTGCTTCATGCTGATTACATGTCCCTCGCCGAGCACAAGCAGAAAACTTTCCCATCGTCCACCATTTTATCCCTCCTGTGGACGTCCGTGGAAGACAGGATCTCACAAAGCTGGACCGACCGCATCTTGAGTCACACCAACAAGCCCAAGGATTTGTCCCTCCACTTCGATGGCATCCGAATATCTGCGGAGCACGTTGGAGCTTTACATGAGGAGTTCATCAAGGAGTGCGAGAATGCGATCCAGAAGAGGACTGGTTTCCTGGTCAAGATTGTACCAAAGAAACATTTCAGTTTCATTGACTTGGTGAAGACCAGGAGTACGCATGCAAATGCACTCACAAACGTCCCCGACATTCTGTTCCAGCCGGGCAACTGCATACCTTGTGCTTTGTGGCATGTGGTTCCACTTTCTCGACCGGCAATCATTGCAGCTGTGTCGAGCGCTGCCCTGCCCAAGAATGTGGAGCCCAAGAGTGCACGACACAGAGATTACCGGTCCGTCGTATCCATGTGTGCCGTGGATCTGAGCAGCTGCCTGGGCATGCCGGGTTCGCATGTGAAGTTCTTCCTGATGCACTGCGAAGGCCACGGTCTGCCACATAGCATAGCTGTCCGGGTGGATGCCTCTGGGAGTGGCGTGACCGTCATCGATGGAGCGACAGTCTACAAATTGAACATGGCGACTCTTCGCGAAATCCACTGCGCAGCCGTGGATCATTCCACAATCGTGTCATACTGGAAGAAGGACCCCCAAGACAAAAAGAACAACAAATCGGCGATTCTGTTGGACATGGTGGCGGGGGCGAGAGATGTCCCTGACGATTCGGAGGAAGATTCTTCACAGGATGTGGAAGAGGTTCATGCCGTGGAGGTCCTCAACAAGCTGTCCTTCGACGAAGACAATGTTCCTGTCTTCAACGACAACATCCTGCAATCCTTGAAGAATGAAACCAGCGACGTCTTCAACGATCTACAAAAGAAATCGACGAGATCTGAAGGAAGACGACGCTGTCCGCTATGTCCTTTCAGGTCGTTCACGCAGCTCCGGTTGTTGCGGACCCACATTGCAAAGCACCACACCAACCAGAACCAGTATGTATGTTCTGGAACAAAGCAAATTAAGGTCATACTGGCTCTCTACGACCACGCGGCGTCCTCGCAAAGTGTGGCTACCAATCTGCTACTTACAGGAGAGTGCTACGATTATCCGGCAGACAGTTCAGCCGCCTTTGCAGGGTAACCACAACCGCATCGACAAGCAGATCAGACTCGTCCTTGATGCGGCCGGGCCGAAGTATGTGAACGTATCCAAGATTGGCAGTACTCTGCAAGTGCGGCGAGTTCGTAATCTCTACTATGCACACTCCTTCGCAGACCTTCTTCTACGGGAAATGGTGCTGAACCATGCTCAGGCATCCAGACCGCAAGTATCTATGTCGGTGTCATTCGTACATACGAATCCCCATAACATAAGATGTCGCCATATTGAACTTAGGTCCGGACCGTATCCAGTCGATGCCACATGGCAGCCCATGAGTCTGGTAATGTGCTATCCAGTCTCCTTCCTCGACGTTCCCCGCAGTGGATGCCTATGCTGGAGGACATTGTGGCCGCACCGATCTTCCTCAAAAAGATGGAGGACATGAACAGAGTCCTGCTGGGGCAAGACGAGTGGCACTACATAAGCATGGACGCCACCTTGAAATTATGCATGAAATTGATGGGTCAAGCCTCCTATCGGTCGCCCAAGTCAGTCCGCAATGAGGCGCCATTTGGTGATGACGTAGCGTGGAGAAGACTCCTCACCATCAGGACTCGAACTGGTGCGGCTCTGCTGTTGCATCCTCTTCAGAATGAGTCTGCGGATCAAGTCGTCGATGCCCTGGCTCAAAATTTCTCGGCAGATCAACTTCGGGCAGTGGTTCACGCCGGGACAGACCAACCGTCGGAACAGCTGTTCAATGAGTTGAAGGCAATATGTCCATCAATGAGATCACTTGTTCTGGATGCGATCCATTTGGCCATTGTCTATGAGTACGGCTTTTGGAACAAACGCAGCCCCGGATCCAAACAACTTCGTCGGATCCTCAAGAAGTGCATCTCGATTGATGCGGACTTGGGGCAGGGTCAGTGGGGAACATTTTACGACGGCACGAATGCCCGTCCGCTGACTGAAGATGAGATGAAGTACCGAGAGATGATATCAGATTCATCTATGGACTCGAGGGAATGTAATGGCGTGCTGGACGGCTTGAACACGAACGTCCCATTCACTACTCGCTTGGAGTTCATTCAGTGCCTTGCCGCTCTGTGTCGAAGATACCCGGCAGAGGTTAATAGGAAGATTGCCGGTGCTAACAAGCAGATTAGTAAAATTCTCTGGTCTGCTTGTGCACCCGATCGTCTTGAGTGGCTTATGAATAACTTGCGGGTCAGACATGCTTTGCCGTCGTCATATCAATGGTTCCTCCCAAGTGGAACCTCCAGCAATGAGGCGTTGCATGCGGAAATAAACTCGTGGTCGCGAAGCACTAACGTCATCCACCGTTCCACCCTTGCAATGAAGTTGAAATACTTCAGTTACATCAAATTGCTGTTGCACTATCTGTCAGTGCAATACCCTTTATCTTATACGGTCAGTGCAAGCATGATGCTAAGCAGATCGCTGCACCGATCTTTATGGAGCGAAGATGGCTGGAACGTATGGTGTGCTGAACAGTCGTCGCACACAGTTCCGAAGAAGGCTATGTTATCCTTGTCATCGGCTAGACAGCTTGAAGCTCGTCTAGTTCGAGAGCACGTCTTAAAAAAGCCCGCCTCAAAGAGACAAGGCAATACCAGCATGAAGAGACGTGTGACGCCCTTGTCCGTCAAACGGATTCACACACTGCGAAGTGCAGGTGTGAAAAGGCACAACGACACGGCTAATCATACCAGCAAGATGCGGCAGACACCAAAACAACGGCACGGGACGGTGGCGTCGACCAATCGTATCGAGTCAGAGCGATAATGCCTGCCTGCGTTCTTCCTGTGTCCGTAGGACATCTCACATCTGGCCTCCATTGACGTCGCGTCCTTGGATGCATTGGACCTAATGGACCAATAAAAAACTGCATTTATGATATGATATTCCTATTTAGCGAGTTAGATGGACATACCAGAGTCTTGTAGGGACTCGACAATTACGTGTATCGGATTACTATGCCGAGTGATACATGTATCTTTTGCATGCGGGATGATACAGTACCATTCTTGCCTATGCGAAAATTCTAAACAAATTTATGGTATCGTAAAGCGTGTATACTTATTGCACGATCCTTATATGGATGTGT